ACTGACTTGTAATGTAACACTCAAAGGGATTCGCGAAAAAACTGACAACACGATGGAGCGCCCGCGAGCGGCTCCGTTCGCTGTCTTCACTTGTGTAATGCTCGATTTGTAACACGTTACATTACAGGCAAATGTTACAAGTCAGTCGCCACCTTAACAAGTAAAATAATCACTCCTTTACTTCTAATACTGACATAATTTTCAACAGAACTGGATATTTCATATTAAAACATTAAATAGAACAGTAACCCACATATAATAAGTTTTTAATTTTCATTCATTTAGGATTGTACATAATACATGTTTCATTACTGATGGCATATAAAATTACAGAAATAAGTAAAAAAATTAAAGTATATCAATTTTTATTTATTCTGCAGTTAACATAAAATGTCTGATCAAAAAGTTCTGGGACTGGATCTGTGATAGAGATGTTAAATATTGCAGCCAGGAACTACTGGTAACTTCATTCGTTCAGAGGGCAGCTGCCATTTTATCTGTCCTGACAGAATTTTTATCATGCATATGTGATTACTGACAATATTAATTTGTAAACATTGCATTAGGAGATCAAACATTCATCTATTCAAAAACATCTGAGCAGTTGTCTCCTTTTAGAGGTGGCAACATTTTGAGACATGATGTTGCAATCAGTCCTCAGAGTTCAATCCCAGAACATTTTAATAAGACCTCAAATGTAACAGTATTCAGGTAAAATGAGAGTCGTAAGTTACACGGTCATAAATTTTAGCCCTGTGTTTTGTAGTTTATTTTCTGCTAGATTATCAGTTATTAGATGTTAGTGATTTACACTTTCATAATTTTTAATTCCAATAAGTTTAGTCTACAGTACCATAGTTAACAACAGTTGCACTGATATGGATAGCTGACTTTACAAGCGTATTTCGTAACTGGGGGGAGAAACAAAAACCCAAACGGTACAATATAAAAATTAGACACTTACCTAATAATTGATATCCTAAAACTGTGCAAACGTAAATGTAGAAGCATATTACTTGAATGTAAGTTAAATATAATATACGTATAGACGAAGACTCAAAGGGTTAAAAACACTTTGTTCCATGTGAGATATGATTAAAGAACATACACATAAGCAAATATAATACATTAATACGTGTGAACTGCAACTTCTGTTACTATGGAAAATTCAGCATATGAGAGTCACGTTCTGAAAAAATGAACCATTTCCAAATTCTCGATTGTCAAATATCAGTATGTACAAAAGAACATCTTAAGAACAATCCTCATAATATTTCTTTCTGATTCCAAAGCACATAAAGTCTGTAAGAATTAATCCATATAAATTGAAATCATAACATAATGTTCGATGTATGCATGGCCATCTCTTACCACTACCAGCCACGTTGCACGACATTTTTACGTTTCCAAATTTATCGGTTTCTCCACAACATGGTTGTACAATACAATGATATCCTCAAATAGAAGAGTTGAGCTATCAGAATTTGTATCAACCTCCGCCTAAAGGTCACCTATTCATTATTAAATGAACATTCTCCCAGTTTCTTGTTTCTTAGTGCATTTAATGACTGTCAACTGTATAGGTTATGTAGTATTAAATGCAAGGGCAATCATTAAAGATGAATTAAGAGAGTTCATAAGATGGCTGCTTCAATCGACAACTACGTTTTGCTACGCGAACAAGGTCATTCTATACAGAACAGGTACAAGATGACAAGTCTAGTAATTAAATTGTTTTGATGGCGTGCCTTCATTAGATTTAAAGAAAAATGATACCGAAGCATACATCACTCATGCAGAAGGTGGCTCTTTTATTTAACGACACTGTCTGTAGCTGAGATTATAGCATAAAATGAGGGGATAATTAATTAATGACTTGGAAAGAAGAGGTCATATGACTTAATTTATGGTATTATCCACATAGACCCCCCCACCCCCTCAGAAGTCCAACTCTGAACAGGATTTAGATAACCGAGGCAAAGACTCGAATTAGGCGCATACAACATTTATTAGTGTATATAAAAATAAATATTGACTGTCTTGGAAGGCACATGTTGAACACATTACTAAATACAAATTAATACAAACCCTGCAACTGAAAAATAAAGAGCTACTGCATCATATCCAAGCTCAAAAATATAAATTCAGATCTTCAAGTATGTTTCTTCATTATCCACTTAGCTCATATTCTTGTATTTGGTGAACAGGTTGTAAAGAACTCGCAATGTCGATTTCAAATCTAAGTTCACAATATCTGTAAAATTAACAGGTCATAATTAAAACAGTAACTGGCTTCATGTAAATTTTATAAAAAGTTTGAAATATACCATAAAACTTGGCAAAGTTAATAATTTTGTGTTCCATAATACAGTTTTGGATGTGGTAAATAACCAGTTGTCTAGTAACAGATTAGTTCAGAGCTGCTAATAACAGAGGCCATGACTGGACACAGTCCTGCGCCAAATCAATCCAAGTTCACATCCTTGGTGCCTTTCCATTAGATTTCTCTGTTAAAATTTTGTTATTCCATCCAAGTTGCATGTTTGGGTCCATAGTAAACTTGATTTGGATGCAATAACAATATTAAATTACCAGTTTCATTACATAATAGGAGCTCCACTTCCCACTAACTTTGTTCTCAGATATTTTTCTTGGCACTTTGTCCTTGAAATTTATGTTCGTCCCTCAGGATAAAAGGCCTCATTTTGCAACCACACCAAAATCTTACACCTGCAAATACTGAGCTGGGATACTGGGACGACCCGTTCTTCAAGTGCCTGAGCACGGCGGATCCCAATTTTTTTGTTGGCTCGATCTATAGACATTCGGTAGGACTCCTTGGACGAGGGATCGGCCCGTCGCAAGGCCTCTACCTGTACACAGGGCAGCACATCACAGAAAAACGCGGACAAACATCCATGGCTTGAGTGGGATTCGAACCCACGGTCCCAGCGACCAAGCGGCACGAGGCCCACGCCTCAGACCGCGCGGCCACTGCGGACCCCGAGCTGCAATATATAAAGGTATTATGAGATGCAGTACACACTAACTCTCACAGATCCTCCAATTTTAAAACATTAAATATATAAAACTTCAATGATCTTTCACGAATCACGTCGCTCAGAGCTTACCTTCAGGTCGAGCCTTGGGTTTTGCGAGTCCTATATCCTGCATCAACTCAAAAGCAAAATTCACATTGTGAACTTTCTGGTCAAAATCTTGGGGTGTAAGATGAAAACTGTATAATGGTACAAAAAAGCCTTCGAGCAGACCCATGAGTAGAGTCAGGTATACCCCATCATGAAATTGGGTATCTAAGTCCAAAACTTCGAGATTCACCTTGTTCAGATGCTTGTTAACAAATGTCACCAGCGACTGGAAATGGAAACAAATTTTAATTAAAATCAACAGTAGAAGAAGAAAAGGGAAGATGAATAATATGAAGAAGAAAATGTAACACATCTCAAGTAGACAAATGGAATCCTACTCAGGTAACAAAAGTTTTCACATCTGTCAAGCATTTATTTGTCAGTTAGTTTAAATATACAAGCGAAGTGTTTATGTCTGAACAGACCTACATATGGTTTTCAATCATAAATAAACTTCAATCATGTGTATATTGAAGACTTGATTCATGTTTCACTTCCTCAAAGCTTTTAAAATTGTACCTGTAAAGGTTTTGTAATAAACAGACACACTGCAGAGAACTAAACATTTAATCGGCTTAAAACTAAGATGTTGAGAACCATTAGAGCCATTAGATTATGCTTGCCAAAATGTCAGCTATTGCCATCAGCAGTAAATACGTTGGGGGAAGGAGGGATGTGAAAAACATACCAGCTGTTATACATCCATCTGTGCATCCATTTTCAAGTGATATGTTCAATTCAATGTCTGGTAAAATCAATATATGTCTTATAACCAATTCTTCTCGGGCTACCAGCTGTGTCAGGTGGTTCAGTACCTCGAGGACGAGGACAAAGATGGCTCTTGAAATGTCGGTGTTTTCATCTTCCAACCACCTGATATGGCTGGTAGCCTGAGAATAATTAATTTTTATTAGCCACCATGAAAGTTTCAGATCATACAAGACATACCTTCTTCACAACTTGTAATTTGTCTGGTGCATGATCAAATAATGTATCAAAGGCATCTCTCTCACAACGCATCCCAAGATCATCATACGTTGATGTAATTTCTTCCAATACGGTTCGATGGCTGAGAGAACCATCCTTTTTCTGTTGAAAGAACAAATGTTACTCTTCCAGAAACTCTTTCGCCCTTATGGACTGACAGTTATGCACTGTGCAGGAAATGCATGCTCCTTGTTACAGACAAAACTATTTGGCCACTATTTTTTTTTGTTCCATCGGGTCGGAGCAGACCCCTGGTGACATTATGAACAAGTTCCCTCTGATAGGGACCTGTTCATATGTTTCCTAGGCAGGTGATCCAGAAGTGGTTTGCCGTTGCCTTCTTCTGTGTGCTTAATGTCAAATGATGATGAAAATGGAGTAATTTTTGGGATACCAGAGAAACCGGGGAAGCCCCGGATTAAAACTCCGTGATACCTTGACCACGGCCTTGCCCAACACAAGTTATAAATCCGGGCACCGCCAGGAATCGAACCCGGGACCCCAGGATTACAAGCCCATCGTGCATAATATGACAGCATAAGGGGGGAATCCTGTTCATCCATCTCCATCTTTTGTCTCCAGAACTGTTCAGAAGGCTTTGATGAAATATGGTAATAATAATAATAATCCGTGGCATAACAGGCCTCTGAGAGCCAAAGCCGACTAGCTGGCTGCTGGGCTCACGTTCACATGCCTAAGCAGTGAACGATCATCCAACCAGATACAGGAAGACGTGTGGTCAGCACGACGAACCCCCAGCCATTGCTAGTTTTCCTGACCGGATTACGCTACCCATTGTAGCTCCCCAATTTCCTCACGATGCTGGGTTGGCACAGGTCCCGTACACTGGTCGAAAATCTCATGAGAAATTTTTTTCCCCGAGACTCGAACCGGCGCGTGTTCCATATAACTGGTCCGAAGCATGATGCCTCAGACCGCGCGGCTACGGCGCAGGACGATGAAATGTGGTATTAGGGAACAAAGCTGTCTGTGACCAGTGTGAATGCTATGCCATGACACTGCAAGTATTAATCAAAAGGAACAACCAGTTTTGTGTACGAATTAGCATTCACATGCATGGATGTTAGGAAGTTGGACATTCATAATTCAGGATATTCCTTTAGAAGGATAATCTGCAATTCAAGAGACTCCACACAAATAATCAGGGTTAAATTTCAATTCTATATCATCACCAACATTATTAATAACTAAAAAGCTATTTGCAAAGAAAGAAACATTATAAATTGTTTGCTGAATTTTACCTGTTTCATGTCTTACTTCGTAAATACAATTATGAGATTATAAAACACAGAGAACGTACCTGGACAACTACAACTCCCACTGCTACATTTTCGGGCAGACGAACCGGAGCGCGGAAGTGACGTGCTAGTGCCACGAGTAAGTGCAAGATGGCCACAATATTCTTTGAGTGTACACTCTCCACACTCCACTTCTGCTGAGACCAACGCGGCAGACTTAGGACCTGACCAAATGGGGAGGAAGCCACAGCGGAAGGTCAATACTCCTGTACAATGTAATTATATAGTACGCTAACTAGTTACATTTGCTGGTTGTGTTTCTGATTTGTTACATTACCATTTTATTGGTTAGTAGTCAATTTCATTAAACTTCTTTGGTTATATATCTGACGGCCTGACTGCTTCGTTTAGTCGATCGGTTAGCTGGTTGGTTGCTTAGTATAGATGCTTCATCTTTTAATCAGCTGACTGTGTAGTTCACTAATATGTTAGTTTGTTAGTTATGTGAACGGTAAGACGGCACGGACTTACTCTGTTTGTTGCCGCAAGAACTATTCCCAGTTTCTGTTTCTGCCCCTCTTCAGATTGTGTGACTTCGGGAACATCCAGTTTCTCTCCTGTCAACTTCTCTGCCAGAAGGAAACAAACGAGTACGTTAAAAACCACACACGTGGCTTCCAAGATTATGATCTGTATTAATAACCAGATGGATGTCTTCTGAGTCGTTGCACCGTGTGTTCTCATAGAAGTTTACTAACATTTCAGAAGACCTTGCTGCCGCCACCGTCGCCCTGACGATGGACACATCCTCAGATTCACTGCCATGAAAACCTCAAATCTTAATTAATAACCAAAATAGTTTCTTATAATTTAAATTTTGTATGTAGCTCTTATTTTACTTAAAATGTGCTCATCTCAGCATTCTACATTTGATTACTTTAACAATATTAAGAAAATAGTAGCCGTATGGATTGTGATGTTCCTCATTACTATACTTATTTATCCCTGTTACTTCCTCTCTCGGAGGCCCAAATATTTAAATAAATAAATAAAATTCATGCAGTGTTATCTCATTCACTGTAATATGCAGAAAGCTTACCTAACAATTTCTGCAGTACTTGGCCATCATACAGATCCTCCTCAATATCCTTAACTATAATCCTCTGGTCTGCCAGTTCATCATTGATCCATTCGATAAGAACCGCTATCAGCTCCTTTAATTTTGGTTCTTCGAAAGACCGTGGCTCAATCATGGATCTCTCTTCATTCTCCTCTGTGCGAGACATTTAGTATAAATTATTAAAAAAAATAGTTTCCAAAATCATCTCAGTTTCTGTAACATTTGTAATGAAACTCAACCTTTTCAGTCTCTCTCCGAAGACCATGCAAATACAAAAAATCCCAAACAAATATTTGCTGAATTAAAAGCCTCCAGATACGAATCATTCATAAAAAAAAATGGCATCTTATCTGTGTCACATCCACAATGGTTATGAAGCACAGACTAACCAAGTGTATATTCTTCTGGGGGTAAATCTGGTGCGGTTGGACTGCCTGGTGAATCAATAGCATATTTCCCTTCCTCCTGGACCTCTTGCACTGAAACAAGTATGCACAGATTATTGGAGTTAGGAACAGTTTGAAATAAATATTAACAAATGACAAGAATACCTAAAGAGATGAACCAAACAGAATTCTGGAGTTGATAATTTCTGATTCCCCAGTTCAAACAATGCTATATTTATATCAGTACCCACTTTCTATGGAATATCTATCGCAAAACCATACTTATCATACAAAAAATCTACCCACACCTCTGGAATACGGAGTGTTGGATTTGACATCTGCATAACCCCACCCAGATATTGCCATATATGGTCACATAAGAATATTGAGAGTAGTGAATAAACTGCTGTTATTTAAAAACACGTGTATATTAATATATACGTACCCTCCTTAATTCGTTTCTTCCTCCCTAGTGTGCCAATTTTTTCCCAGAATGATTCTTCTTTCTCATCCTTCCGAGCAGTAACGGCAGGACGAGGTGATTTTGGCCGTGGCGACGCCATGACTGTTTTCCTTCTCACTACCGCGAGACCTGTATTCAGAAATATGAACTAAACCGAAGACATATACGCATGTATTAAATTATGTAAAATTTGCGTACATTGTATGAAGAGTGTCCTAAGAAAAGTGAACTGTAACTTTCAAGCATATACATTAGCTATCAAATCGCTTCTCTAGCTTTAAATATCTTCATAAAGTAAGGTTCAAATGTACGGACCCAAAATAATGCACGGTAACTGGAAATACTGTGTAAGATTTGAGGTTTTCACAGCCGTGAGTATGAAGATTTCTGTCTTCTGGGTTGTTGCGCTGTGTAGTCTGGTCGATGCTAACCAACGTTTCAGAGGTCATACTGCCTCCATCATCAGGGCGATGAGTATGAAGATTTCCGTCTTCTGGGTTGTTGCGCTGTGTAGTCTGGTCGATGTTTACCAACGTTTCAGAGGTCATACTGCCTCCATCATCAGAGTATGAAGATTTCTGTCTTCTGGGTTGTTGCGCCGTGTAGTCTGGTAGAAGTTTACCGACGTTTCCATGCTGCCTCCATCATCGCCCTGATGATGGAGGCAGCACGGACCTCTGTAACTTTGGTATAATATACTTCTACCAGACTACACGGCGCAACAACACAGAAGACAGCCATCTCCTGAGATCAGAAACCATGACCTAGTTAATCACTTCCTTCGGGGAAGTGTGACTCGCTATCAGAACTCATTCCGGCAGATTTGTTTTACACGTTAAGAGGCGTCAGGTTAAGTACGTGGTCAACATGATCTTTAGGACCCACTGAATTCGGAAGCAGCAAAAGCTTAAATCACAGACTTAAAAGTAAGATATCTGAAGAACTCTCCTTTGGCGTCATTTCGCGAACTCTAAAACACGTTTTAGCCCTTGTTTGTGTATCTTACCTTTCAAAGTGCCGATAGATTCCATTTGATGATCATGCATTGTATCTTCTTGCTTGTATATTTCAGTTTCAGCATTGTGTGTTGTTGGTCGCTCTTTGTCTTGCCCAATCACTGAAACGTTAGCTTCTTTTATTACTTCATATTCATGATTTGTAGTTGGTTTGTCTTTCTCTTGAATACATCTCTGGTTGGCTCTAAGATCACTAGTTTTGTCCGACTTTTCTGTGACACTTTCAGAATCGTTCGATTCATTTTTGTTTTCGGTTGGTGATGTGGCATGTTCTTTTCTAACGACCTTCGATTCCGCGATGGTGGATTGGTCTGGCGTTTTCACTACACTTCCTTCTTTAACAAGAACATCAACAACTCGAGGCTTTGAGTACAAATCATCTTCATTTTCAGAATCATCTGAATCTGAAGGGACGGTAGGATCCAAACGTGTTTCGTGAGAAGCTTGTCGAAACAAAGTTCTGCACACGGGACGCTCAACTTCTTCGTCCATTATTAACCACTCACTGTGTGCTTAGCTTCCTGCAAAGCCTATATGAATGACCACATCCCTACTTCGTGCAAGGAAGTGAGTCAGTTCTGAGATAGAGGAAAGGCTTCGAGTTATGTAACTTACTGCATTATTGGCTAAGGATGTTGCAAGGTATTTATAATGAGGGTCACTCAAAAGCTGGGGCCTGAATTTGAATCCTGCTTGGGTCATCTATGTTTTTGTACGTTTTATCCATTCGTTATGTGAAAGGGTGAATTACTGAACATATTTTTTATTAGATTTTGATTTTTTCTAGACCAGAGTTTCTTTTAATTTAGTACAACCTTAGTTAATCCTGAAATCGAGGTTTATGAATTGTCTCAAGAAGGTTCATCAGACAAGGTATTGTTACATGACGTAAGTTGAAAATCTCATTAAGGTTTATAACTTTTATCCAAAATTTCTTTCGTGGTAAAATTTAAAGAAATTCAATTTAAAAATACGTACCGTTCAACAACAATAGACTTATGGTTAGCAACACAACATTAGATAACTAAAATCAGTAGGGCATTTAGCATTGTTATGTAATTTCATATATTTTTGTACAGCTTAGAAGGTAAAGTTGTCCCTGTCCGTCACACTGACATTTTCGATTGTAGGAAATAGAGAAGCAGGAGTATGGACCAACCTCTAAAGGTTAAACTTCCATACCTAACACGAAAATCCAATCATCTTGTCTCGAATTATATGGCAGAACATGTAGTTTGTAGGATCATGGTCAGATGGCAGCACGGACTGGCTAAAAATCGCAACAGATTGACACTACGTGAACCTATAGAATGTCCCTTCTGTCACCGTTGTCATTGAGCATTTGGTACCTTGTAATCGGCGAATGTCTGAAATTAGCAACTATGAATAAGGAATATTTTTCCCGTGGCACGAAAATATGATTGATATCCAGCAAGCACTCTTTTGAATGCGTGCTTACTAGCGGTTAGGGGTTCATGGATTAGGGATGCGCATGCGTACAATATAGCAGTTGTAGGCATACAGTTTTACCATTTTAGGACATTTCCTTCCAACATTAACGAATTTTAATGGCATACCTCTTTCTTTTTTTTATAATATATCAAGGAAAATTATATTTGTAACCGAACATACGATTGTATTCGTTTCAATATATCAATTCTGTACAATCGATTCAAGCCATCGACATTTCACCGTTTTCAATAATATCATTCGACCTAAATCTCTATTACGAGGTTCGGAAATGGTTCTGTGAACTTTATATTTTAGAAATGTCGTTTGGTACCTTACTGAATAGAAGTTCTAGACTGTTTTTTCAGAATACTTTTCCATTTAAATACACCGAATCTCAGGGTGTAATAAATTGTGCATGTTACTCGCAAAAACCTAAAACGAAATATAAAGGTAAGGTTTTAATATATCCAAGCATAAAACTGCTAAGGAAGTATTTGCCTTGAGCAATTATTATGTGCATCATAATACTGTACCCTGTCTCTTTTTTTTTTACTTTTATCTTAGATACTGAAGAGTTCAGAGTTTTGGATTTAAAGCAGAAGAAACAGACACCATTTAGGAGGAAGTTTAAAAAGCAAGATGTGATGCCACCACGGTAAGCAGATACCTTGTTATTACTTTTATGGCTCAGTGTAGAACTGGAATCAGTACAGCAACTTGTAATGAATAATATTACATGACAAAGTAACTGCATGATACAGGGACTTGGTTGAAAGGAGGCAGTTATTGATTTTATCAAGAAATTACCTACTTTTAAGAAACTTAAAGGGCTGTCACTTATTTTCAGAAAAGTAGCAATTTGCATCCTGTCCTGAGCTAGAAGAATTCCATCTCTCAAAGATCCATCATAATATTATCCTCCCATGTTCATGTTAGTCTCCAGAATGTTCTCTTCTCATCATGTTTCATGATCAGAATTTTTATATGTATAAAAATTTGGGGATCTCCACCAAGAACTAGCAATGAAAATAATAGAATTGATATGGGCCATACTGTTTTGTGGATTGTACTGTATATGTTGTATTAGTTTTAGAACTTTTCTTCACAGTGTCCTATATTATGCTGGAGAGACCTTTGTGACTCATAAAACTACTACTGCTACTCTTTATGAAGTTGTGGTTGGCTTTGAATTTTATTTTCTGCAGCTGTATAAAGATAACTAATCAATTCTTTAAAAATAAGGCACAGTTCAGACATTTGGGAATGATAGTAATAAGTCAGAATTACATTCATGAAGAAATTAAGAGCAGATTAAATTTTGAAAGTGCTTCCTTCTGCTTCCATACAATTCAGAATCTTCTGTCTCCTTGGTTGCTGTCTAAAAATGTAAAGATTAAAATACTAGATACAGCGCTATAATTTTGTATGTTATTTTGTTTGGTTATGAAACTTGGTATCTTATGTTAAGGGGAAGAACACAGATTGAGGGTTTTTGAGAACAGGGAGCTGAGGAGATTGTTTGAGCCCAAGAAAGATGAAATGATAAGAGATGAGACAATTTCATAATTTGGAGCTTTAATTTGTACTGATCACAGGATACTTTTAGGTTGATAAAATCAAAGAAGATTAGATTGGTGTGAGGGAGCTGAGAAATGCATTCTTAATTTTGGTTGGAAAGCATGAAGGGGAAGGACCATTTGGATGACGTAGGATTAAATGGGGCAACACTGTTATAAATATCTTTAGGGAATCTGGTGTGAGGGTTTGGATAGACTAATTTGGGTCAGGACAGGGACCAGTGGAAGGCTCTTGTGAACACAGTAATCAACCTTCATGTTCCATAAAAGGTGAAGAACATGTTCACTAGCTCCGTGACTCTCAGCTTCACAGAAAAGGACTCTGCTCTTTGGAGCTAGTCAATTATTGAATGCTCTACTAGTGATTCCCAGGTGCTTGTCATGATTTAAGTGAATTGTTTTAATACCATTATCCATTTTTTAAAAATTTTAATTGTGGTTCTCCTCCTGTTTTTTTTTAATTGTGAACTGTATAACGTCCCTCTTTTTTTCAGCACTACCATGATGCCTGTGGACCAAGACTGGGGTAATGTTTGGCCAGGACCTAGGACATTTCATCCTGCAGTAGTTCCTCTCCCAGTGAGACAAGGCTACAATGAAAAAGATGCACCACCAGGAAAGTTTGGCAATGCTGAACTTATGAAAATTCCTAATTTCCTTCACCTGACACCACCAGTGATAAAGAGACAGTGTGAAGCT